AGGTAAACTACTTGTTTGTAAGTAAACTTTTATACCTAGGATATAATGCTAAACGTTGGAGAGTCAAAATGATACTTTAAAAACTAATTTTTGAACTTGGAAAATGTATTTATTTTTATATGGAGTCAAAACATGTGGACTCACCAACTTATGTTGACGTATTTTAAATTGCATGTGTTTTCAGGAAGTTGATAACTATGATACGAGAAAAGACGTTACACTGCCCGGTGTTTCCGCCGACGGCCGGGGTGTGACATGAAGGGATGTGGGTTGGAGGCATAATCAATGTAGGTTAGTTGTAAATTAAGAGGATGTAGGTTAAGGAAATACATAAATCATAAATTTAATTATAAAAGAAATGAAGGGCACAATAGTTTTTTTATATCAAACATGGACTAAACGCACAACAAATTTGTTATTTAAGAATTTCACTTATGAAAAATTCGACTTAGGGACTAAACCCATAAAAGCACAATAACACAAGGACCATTCTCGTAATTTACTAAAAAAAAAAGTAAAAACACACTATTTGTGCGAAAAAAAAAAAAAAAACAATATCTTAAATCTTAAAGATTCCAGATTCTAATGACGCAATATATTTGTTGTTTCTAATGGCTTGTTTGATGAATCTTGCTGCCAATTATTTCTAGATTCTAACATATAACCAATCAATCAAAAGATGCAACCAATGTTACAAAAAGATGATCCCAATGACTCAACCTCAATCTCCTCAACTTTCCTTTATATACCAAACCAACCCTCTTCCCTCATTTCCCACTAAAACTCTCATCTCAAACCAATGGGCGAAACCATCAATTCTTTCCCATCAGGCCTCCTACCAGACGAGACCTCGCCGGAGTGGCTAAACAAAGGTGACAACGCATGGCAGCTCACAGCGGCTGCCATGGTGGGGCTGCAAAGCGTCCCCGGCCTAGTGATCCTTTATGGCAGCATGGTGAAGAAAAAATGGGCGGTGAACTCAGCTTTCATGGCGTTATACGCCTTTGCTTCCGTTTTATTATGTTGGGTCATGTGGGCACACCAACTCTCCTTTGGCGATAAATTTACAGGCATCATGGGCAAACCTAATGTGGCTGTGACCCAAAAGTATCTACTCGAAAAACAATATGATAAAATGATTCCGGTAGCTGATTATGTGTTTTATCAGTTTGCATTTGCAGCGATAACTGTTATATTACTCGGTGGTTCATTGCTAGGGAGGATGAACTTCTACGCGTGGATGCTTTTTGTGCCTTTATGGCTCACTTTCTCATACACGGTTGGTGCTTACACGATCTGGGACAAAGGGTTTCTTTCCCGCCATATTATTGACTTCTCCGGTGGTTATGTTATTCATTTGTCATCTGGGGTTGCCGGTTTCACTGCCGCTTATTGGGTTAGTTTTCATATTTACGTACAAAAAAGTTGAAAACAAATTAACATCTTTTGATGATATATATGTATATGATTATATGTATGTATAAAGTGATATTGTAGGTGGGGCCTCGGAATCCAAGTGATAGGGAGCATTTTCCACCGAACAACATAATACACATGATGGCCGGAGCAGGGTTTCTTTGGATGGGTTGGAGCGGATTCAACGGCGGATCACCACTGGCGGCGAATGAAATCACCGCCGTTGCTGTTCTAAACACCCATCTTTGCACCGCTACAAGCCTCTTGGTTTGGATGTTCTTCGACTTGATCTTCCACTCCAAAAGCTCGGTGATTGGTGCAGTTCAAGGCATGATGACTGGTCTTGTATGCATCACTCCGGCTGCAGGTTAGATCGATCGATCTAGCTCCTATTTTTCCAAATTCAAAGTGTTTTTCTAACACTAAACACGATAAAATGTATGTAGGAGTTGTTGATACTTGGGCAGCGATGTTTATGGGAGTGTTAGCTGGATCAGTGCCATGGTACACCATGATGATTCTACATAAAAAATCGGCATTTTTTCAACGTGTTGATGATACTTTAGGGGTGTTTCATACGCATGCAGTTGCGGGTGTTTTGGGAGGTTTATCTTCGGGGATGTTTGCTAAACCGAACCTTATAAGAAAGTTCTACAACACAGAGCATTCAGAGTCGCAACAAGGTCCGGGGTTATTATACAGCATTGTCAACGCTAATGAGGTTGTTTATGCGAAGGATGGATTCAAGCAAATGGGGTACCAGATCCTCGGAGCATTGTTTATTGCTGCGTGGAATGTTGTTGCAACGAGTCTTATATGTATATTTGTTAGCCGAATAGTTGACTTGAAGATGCATGAAGATGATTTGGATATTGGAGATGATGCGATTCATGGTGAAGAAGCTTATGCGTTGTGGGGAGATGGTCAAAGGCATCCGCCGTTACGTTCACTTACGCCTAAATTTCCTGCATTTTTTCGACGGGTATAATTAAAATAGAAATTTAAGGTTTTTCATGACAGTGTAGACATGCAATGGTGCCCTAAAGGCTACTTTGATGATGTATTATTTCTTATGATATTGTATGTTAACATGTTTGTTAGGGTTGTTTGTATTCACACATTAATAAATGAACCCCAATCGTCGAGTCAAAACAAAATTGCGTTTTTTAATATATGGAAACTTTCTGTATGCTTTTAGCTAAAATTTTAGGAAGACTCTTTTAAATAAAAAAAAGTTTCACAAGGGTTTGTACGGGAGAATATTTGTTTGAAAGCAAAAACAATATTGCCACTTCAACTACGTCATTTTGATATTATATTAATATGAAAACACATTTATAATATCGTTTTTAATATTTTTTTTTAGAAGTTCTCAAGCCATATCTTTAAATAGTTAAATACCTATCCAACTACAACACTTAATACATAGTTTACGAAATCCTTTTTATATTACAATGCCACGGTCAACTCATGTCTTATTTGAAATTGGGGAGCACAACTTTTGGTTTCTGTATTCGGTGGGCAGCCAGCCCAATGGATTTCACCCAGCGATTGCGACTGATGATCAATTATTAGTATAATGGCTATAATCTACAAATTGTTTAACTATATCCTTATTAGAGCAAGTTTCATACATTTTAATATTTCTTATTAAATTTATATATCAGGTTAGTCGCTCTTAGAAAAATCTAAACAATATTAATAAATGTATCTAAGATGTGCCTCTTGCCCAAAAAATCTAAACAATGCTTTTGCTTATTACTATAAAAATAAAACGAAATGATATTAAATAGAGTATAACTACATTGTATTCTAATACAAACTTACCCATATCATATGTACCGTAGCAACGTATTTATTCCTTGAATATTATTTAAACACATTTCTTGTTATAAATAAACAAGGCTTATATATATTAAGTTTGTATAATACGTACATATTAGTTTCAAGTAAAAAATAAATGCAAAATAAAATATATGTTTAAGGTCTTATAAAAGTTAATGGTGAAAACATAATTTGAACATTATGTTCTGATTTAAAATATTATTAGTAGTTGGTGATTTACCTTCTATATGATAAATCTTGAGACGAGATGCAGTTTGCCCTTTAATTTGAACATCACTGTGTAATATAGTAGCAATATATTTTTTGATTAATTTGTTTCATTTATTTTGAATATTACTATATATTTTTTATTATTTCATTTATGTTATTCTTTGGTCATATGTAATTCGACATTAAAATCTTTTATTTCCTATAACAGTTATAAATTATATATCAAACTATTTTTCAATCAACATAATAAAGACTTTACATAAACTATAAATCATTTAGAAAATATAGTATGTATCAAATGTGTAAGATAATTGTTGTATCTTATAGAACAAGTCTTTCACTAATAAACCAAATCTTTTTTATTGCTTTAAGTCAATATATTAATAACATAACATAACTTTAAAATACGTTTTGCATATATAATGATTAAGGTGTTGTTTGTTTTTTGTCTGCAGATCTGCGTGACCTTTTCTGTCTGCGCCGCGTAGACCACGCGCAGACATTAGCCTTCGCAGACTGTTTGTTTTTTTGAAGACTGCAGACCTAAAAATGTCTGCGCGCCCTCTTCTTGGCGCAGATGTGGACCAAAGTCTTCTAACATCTTCTAGTCTAAAAAAACACATATATCTTTATTTTTTTAAAGTTTTTTTTTTAAATTTATATTTTTTCAAACTTTATTAATGATAAACAATTTGAAAAAAAATTACAATACTTAAAAAAAACGTTCAACGACACAAACATGATATTTTTGACAAATTTATAAATAAAGATTTATTACAATAATAGTTGTTGAAGTTGTTTATATAAATATGAAAAAAAATCATAATATATTCTTATATTTTTTGCCAAATTTTGTAAAACATTATTTAATATAATATCGTCAATTTCTCGGGAAAATATTTACGGTATATTTTTAATGAATTTAATTGAAAAAATCGAAGTTTATTTCTATCCATTTATATATCAAATTCTTTGATCCCTTTAATCTTGTTAGTTAGTTATTGTTTTAAATTGCAACAATAGTTGTTGGTTTTTATCAAATATATACGTTAATTCATACCATTTTAATTTTATTTTTTATACAATAATACATAAAAGTTGATCTAGATTTGTTAGTTATTTATAACAAAGTCATTAAAATATTAAAAAATCACTTTGAAGTTTAAAAAAAATTAGTTTATTTAGATTTCAGTTTATTTCAATAGCCCGCAGATGTTAAAAAAACAAACAGTTTTTTTTTCAGACTGCAGACGTTTGGTCCACCTCTTCTACTTCAGAGATTTACAGATGTAGTCCGCAGTGGTTCGCAGACTGCAAACATTTGTCTCAAAAAATACAAAGAGCACCTAAGTATTTACAAAAGAAAAATAGGACAACTGAGATAATTGTATTTTACACGTTTTTCTTAGCTTGTCAAAACAAACAAACATGAAGGACTAAATGGAAATTAGCTAAAAAAGGAAACCGACATGAGACATGTTGAAGAACCCACTCCCGTTGACGATTTCATTTTCGAATTACAGCTTGGAGTTGAACAATGGGCACATATAAACAACACCGATTTCCTTTACATTTTGATCTTTCAAACATCAAAATCGCTATCAATTTGTGCTCTTTAATCTCCTACAATGGCGTCGAAAGGGAGATTCTACCCTCGAGGTTCTTCTCGAAAATCGTCATCGTCAACGCTCCTCTTTTCAGTACTCATCATCTGTGCATTCTTTGTTTTAATCCTTCTTGCATATGTAACTCTTTCGATTCCGAAAACTCCATCTGATTCTCCGAAAGCTCATGAAGTCAATTCCATCGTTCATGATTCTTCTACTGTTGAAAGGTCAGTTGAATTTTGTTAGACTTTGTTGTTGTGATCTGATTTGATTATAGATTTGAAGGAAATTTTTGATTTTGGTGAATGTAGGAGGGAGGACATCGAGGAAAGAGCTGATCAATGGGTTGAAGTGATTTCATGGGAGCCTAGAGCTGTTATTTATCATAATTTCTTGGTTAGTACCTTTTGATTATGTCAATGCATATCTCAATTTCATTGTCATTCCAGTTTGAAAAGTCATGTTATCAACTAATTCTTCTTACATAACCAGAAATTAAGTAATTTATGTTTCCTGGTTTCCAATTCCCGAATCAAAAAGTTGGAATGCATTCTGAAATACTAATCCTGTACAATAAACTTGAGTCCAGTTAAGTATTATTTGTGAAGAAACTGAAACTAGTCCCCTTAAATTAGGGGTTACATTATAAGGCCGAATTAGAAGGGATTTTCTTCATTGATTCACATATTGAAAGCCTTAGGTTGTGTCATGTATAGTTCTTTATGAAATCTAACCAAAAGAAAGTTGATTTCACATTATTTGAAATGTAGGTGATTTGTTAATGTCATCAGCCATTTTATGTAATTGGAATTAATAGAGTGCCAAATAGGGAGTCAAACTATGATATTATTAGAACTCTCTTTTGGTTATACAATGATCTTGCTTACCTCATAGAATTTTGACATTCTTTTATAAGCAAACATGGTTTGAGATTTAGATTTCTATGCTGAAATTCTAGTCCTCATCAACACACTAGTAAGATATCTTAAATCATTTACATATTCTCCAAACTAATTGTTTTTTTTTTTTTCAAAATTTTGACTATAGTCCCAGGATGAATGCAATCATCTGATTAATCTTGCTACACCTCATATGGAAAAGTCAACTGTTGTTGATAACGAAACGGGCAAGAGTAAAGACAGCAGGTCTGTATTTTCTTCATTTTCACTTTTGTTAGTATTATTTTTTAGGGATATTGACATAAAAACCCTTGAGTTCTTAAAATAATAGGGTTTTACCTTAACATCACTTTTTGGTGAGTAAAAACCGGAACTTTGCAAGTTATCAAATAAAATTCGCAAGAAAACCCTCAATTTTACAAACTTTTTACGTTTTTACCCTAA